TATATATATATATATATATGTATATATATATATATATATAAAACGTTAACTTCTGAGTTTCAAGAATATTAACTGAATTTGGTTTCCTAAATTTTATGTCTTGGAGCTGTTAAGAGTCCATTTCAAGTTGAACCATCCAGCAAGGTCAGAAAAGGTTAAGGTGTTGTTCAAGGTCTGGCTATTGGAGCTTTTAGCCCAGAGTGACATATTGAAGTCAACAAATAACCTTAATTATTTTATAATGACACAGCACAACTGCCTTGTTACAAATTTTTTCTTAAATGCATATATACTATATTTAAAAATAAAGATATAGATGCCAATTTACCAAAGATACATATTACTAATTCTAAAAAAAAAAAAAAAACCAAACTCATAATTTAAGAAATAACAATCTAAAATGTAGTTTGTCTTAATAATTTAGCAGTTAATACTGGAAAGTGCATTTTCAACTCCTATGTTCTAAGGTTTATGTTTAAATGGTGCCAGTGAATTTTTATCTGAAGGGAAAATGCCTGCTTTCTTTTTTCCCCCGACTGTATTTTCACTTCCCCATGCACTTTCCCTCAGCTGCCACTTAACATACAATATTGGCTTCACTTATCTCTAAAAAGAAGGCATGCTACAAATAGGAAGGAATTGTAACTAATGATATTTGGCCTCTACTTTGTCTTAGCTGTTAAACTTTTTAGTATTTTTGTTAACTATTTGCAAAGGGAAGCATTTTCTACAGAGGATAATTAATTTCAAGAAAAATATCTTGAGTTTTAAGAAATGAACATCTCCAGAAAAGGAGACAGTCGATTTTATAAAATGTCACAACTCTCCAACATTTGGGGTACTGACTCCTTTTTTGTTAGGACATTTGAAACTAGTAAGCGGTCATTGTTTCTTAACAAAAACAAAAAACAAAAAATAAAACTCAGCCTTCACGTTGATTCATGTTTCCCCTCATTTTGAAATAGCTAATATCATTAAAACTGTAAATATTTTGTTGCTTGGATAAGCATCTTCTGGGAACTTTGTATCTATGGTATATAATCATAGAATTTTATATTTTCATATAAAGCTAATTTTTTTCTAGTTTCAACTCCATCATAGTTCTTTTGTTTTTTGGGTGGTGGTTTTTTTATTTTTTATTTTTTTTCTTTTTTGGTGGTGGTGGTGGATATGTGAATTCAACTTTACATGTATTGAAGTAGCAAGAACCATCTTTGCATTCCAAAAGAATCCAAATTGTGTTATTTCTTTGAGGTAGTGATTGTGAAAGTTGGGTTTTCCTTTTTAATTCCATTGACCATTTGTGCAATAGAAATTAGACATAATTAGTCAATACATATGTTGCATTGACCCATTTGGAAAAAGATTTTTTTTTTTTTTAATTTGTTCCAGGGGAAGGGTTTTGTAACCGAAATTTTTTCCCTTTTTTCTTCTGTTTAAACTATATCAAATCATTCTATTATAGTGTTATTTAAAATGTAAATTGTATTGCTATACATAAAATAAAGTATGGTTTTTGATGTATTCAATTAGTGCTGAACATTTCTATGAAAATATCTACATACAATAAAATCTTAGGTTACAAATCTCCCTTACCAGAGCACATAAATACCCAAACCAACTATACCCAGTTTTATGTAAGTTAAATGTGTAGAAATCACATTTAGGCAGTCAACTCCCAAGATCTAGTCTTTTTCTGAATTCTTCCACTTTTAAAGAATAAACAAAGTTACTTGTATACTGAATCACCCTTCATTTGCTTTATAAAGCTACTGCTAAATTATAAGCAGAATTACTGTTTTCTCTAGCATAGCAACTGTAGAAAATTCTTAATATTTAGTTTGTAGGAATGAAGGTGATACCCTCTTAAGACTGCTGAAGAGTCTATGAAACACATAGGATCACTACAATTGCATCTCTGTATAATGAATTTTAGTATTTCCCATGTGGGATAGCAAATTTGACAGCTTTTGTCTGCTGTTCCCTGTACTTCTAGTGGACCCACATTAAGAGTTCAACACTTAACTACCAGAGCCCCAATGTAAAGAACAGGTAAACTATCATTCCTACTTACCTGGGAATCTCTGAAACACCTTAACTTTTTTCTATTAATAGAAGAGAGATCAGTGACAGCAAAACAGAATGACTCTCTCTGATGATATAAACCTAGCCTTCCTCAAATTACACTCAACAGTATATTACAGAGAACATCCTGTAGATCACATACAGTCCACAGATACATTTTATCTGGCCCATAACTTCTTAAATTCATATTAGTTAACAATAACTAAAAGTGACAACTTATATATATACTGTTTCACGCTCTTTACAAAAATGTGAGCTCATGATCTCACATGGTAATATCAAGTTAGATCTTATGGGTAACACAAACTCTCCATCAGAATGTACACTTCCCATTCCCTTATGCTGTTCATTGTCAGTTCTTTAAATAACCTACCTGGATCTCTAATCAGGTATTTAAGAATTTTAGGACTATCTTCTGAGTCAGGCTGGTAAACGAACCATCAAGAGCAACAGTATAGGTACATATGTATCACACTTCATTAAAATTCCAGAGAGCTAGTATGCTGCAATGGGGCTCCCCCATTCCTAGCTACTTCCAAATCCACCCAAGAGGGTTCAATGAAACAGCAGTTGTGACCAAAATAATTCAATCAATTCTGTCCTCTGTGGCTTTTACTGTTCAGAAATAAATCTACACAGAGAATCTTAATTTCTGTTAAAGAATGTTACAAAGCAATAAGTATAGAAAGACATTTTTGTCCAAAATTACAATTAGAGTATAATTATTGAGTAAAATTGTTAAGAACTATGATTTCAAAACAAATCACTACTAACCATGCCTGAATTCAGAGATATAATTAAAAGCATTGACTTTTTATTCTTGTATTAGAGAAATTACATAAAGGCACTAGCATATGGGAACACAAGTTGGAAACTTGTGAGGTTAAAACTGGCTTGTGATTATGAAGTTTGGGAGATTATGATGTTTGGAATATAATTAGACAAGCAATAAGAATCATATTAAGTTGTCAAAAAATTACCAAATAAGATATTAATTATGGTGTAGTGACTTCAAATCATTTGACTTTTATGTTACTAGCCCATAAATTAATTCTCATTCTGTTCTGCAAGGCATGAAGTGTGGCTTGGTAGCAATATCCAATGGACTTTGTGAAGCTTTGGAGGACATTCTAAATTAGCAGTGTCTTTAACAGTCTGTTAGGCTTTGTAAGTATTTGCTGAACAACCACATGTCAGTTACACTCCATACAGGATGCAAAGCTGTCAACATAAGTATTTCAAGTTAGATGAGGCCAAGAGTACCATTTAACCTAAAAAATCAGTTCTTGAATTTATTTAAAAATACTTAAAAATTTTGCTCTGTAGTAAAGATGGTTTTTAGTGAAAGAGTGAAAAGACAATTTTGTATGCATATGAACAAACAAGTAAAACCTGCAACCAGATTCCACATACTCTACATTATATTTATTACTGAAACTAAGAAAGCATTTTCTGGGGGGGGGGGGAGGGAGGGAACTGTTCAAGAATTAGGAAGTCAAAAGTCAAAGGTTTCAGTCAACTCTGGCACTTAGTAACAGTGATTGGAAGGTGGTTCCTTTCTTGCTCTTTTCCTCATTTGTACAATAGAAAAGGTAGTGTTTACCTCACAGAGCAGCTGTCAGGAGGAAGGGAGATGGTACATATAAAGCTCTCAAGATAGTCAATTAATATCAGCTTATAGATCACCGGCATTACCTACCATCACTTTCCTTCACCCTAGACATACTAGACCTCTTTAGTCACTAATAAACCCTGAAGAAGTGGTCATTAATTAGAGACATTTTCATAAAATCCTAAAGCCCATAAGCAGATTGTTTGATAGTACTCCTCAATATAAACATCTATTTCTTCTCCCAAAGT